GAGAGCTCGGGATTCAGGAAACCCAGAAATCTTGATAGATTTTTAAAGTCAGTTTCAGATCTCTGTGAAGTTCCCAGAAGATGACCTAATTAATTTACAAACCTCGAGACAAAGTTCAAAAGAAATCCATTCATTTATTAGGATCAACATTCTGGCATGTTCTCCTGTGGAGCCGAAACTGACTACCTCTTAATTGCATTTGAACTTTACCCCTGTGTCCCCTCCCCTCTGTCTGGGTCATAAATCACATTCACCAACAAGGTTGTAGAAATATGAGATCCGACTCTGTGCCGAAGGTATGCATGGAATCCTCCCTCCGATGCCAACCTGATAATAGTCATGGCAACGCTTTACAAGTTGGCAAGGTCCATGTCTCGCAGCGAGTTGTCCAGTTCATTCTGCCAAGGAAGGGGGGAGGGGAGCTTCTCAAATCTTCTATGGAATTCCTTGATTTTGCTGGTGGAAAAATTTTAAAAAATGATTTTTTGGGCTCTCTTTATTGCAGGTTCCATCTGGCAGCTTCCAAGGGCCTCACGGAATGCCTCACCATCCTGCTCACCCAGGGGGCCGATGTCAATGATAAGAACGAGGACGGTGGGTACCAGCCCAACGGCCCCCCTCCCCTCTTTCACCCAGGCCATTTGCACAAAGGGGTTTAGTTTAGTTTACTTTCTTGTTATTGCACCACATGCAACGAAATTAAACGCCTTCTTCAGGGTCCATTATAACTATAAAAATAAAAACAAACACACCACATTCTCTACAATTGAATTGAAAACTCCTGATGTTGCATTCATATTGCACTACACCGTAGAATTCAATATAGTTACTGTCCTGAGATAGAAGCTGTTTCTCAGCCTATTTGCCCTTGTTTTTATTTCATACAAGAAGCGCTTGTTTTCCCTGGTCATCCAGGGTGTCAACTCCCAGCGTTGTCGTAGTAAGATAAGGGGCAGGGAAGTGCATTTCTCGCATTCTGTTGGTGGGAGTCAGATCTCAGATTACTGCAGCAGGCTTGGGAGGGGTACACCTCATTGGGGAATGTGATTTATGACACAGACTGAGGGAAGGGGGGGAACAGGGATAAAGTTCAGCGATAAATCAAACAAAGCTTAGGCCCGATTGTGAAAAGATCTTGCCTGTAATGCTCCTAATAAATGTATTGTATTGAAATATATTGTATTGAAATGTTTTGCATTGAAACTTGGCTCAATACTCATGAATCAATTAGGGCATTTTTAGGAAACCTTACAGACAGTCAAGTCTAAGCTTTGTTTGATTTACAGCTGAACTTTACCCCTCCCCTCAGACGGTGTCACAAATCTCATTGCCCAATGAGGTGCACCCCTTCCAAGCCTGCTGCAGTAATCTGAGATACGACTTCAGCCGACAGTATGCGTGGAATGTACTCCCCTCGTTCTCTCACTATGACAACAGTGGGAGTTGACTCAGGGCTTCTGATTGGGATACGTTTATCCACAATGATAGTATCTGTGCAGTGTTTGATATATAGCACAGAACGGTTTGCAGTGTGCTCCTATAGGTCAGGGTGATAAAAGATGTCCCAATCTGTGTTCTCAAAGAAATCCTGAAATTGTTGGGAAGCATCTTCTGGCCAAGGTTTCACTGTCTTGATTATAGGCGTAGCCCATCTCTTAAGAGGGATGTAGGCTGTTACTAAAAGCAGTGAACTATGGTCTGATTGTCCCAACTGTGGAATTTGTATAACCTTATAGCCATGTTTATATATATATAAACATAAAATTTAGGCGTACAACACATTTACACAATACAATACGAACAGTAGCTTCCTGTTCTTTATAATAGCAATTATCAATCGATACCGCTCACCTTATATTATTTCCCCTTCTATTGTATTTCATTCAG